CTCTTATTAACTCTTCTCACCATCTCCATCTATCTGTCTCTCTCTCTCTCACACACACTCACACACATCTTTTCTTGATTTGCTCTCTCTGCAACTCTCACATTATAATCTTCTCTCTTTTTTATCTGTCTAAATAATAGGACAACAACCAACATGGTACCCTCCAGGAAATTCAGAGGTGTCAGGCAACGCCAGTGGGGATCTTGGGTGTCAGAAATCCGCCACCCTTTATTGTAAGCCTCACTAGTATATAGAATATACATGGAATCCCTCCGAACACACGTACGACTTGTATCTCACAATATTCCTTTCTTTAATCTCTTACAAGAGATTTGGTCTGAAGCAGTATTTGTACTTGCTTCGTCAGCCTTGCATTCTGCAATTTGGCATTTCACAATCTCGAAACTATTGGAAGAAATGTGACCAAAAAAAAAAAAGGGGCTAACGCTTCTTATGCATCAGGATCTTGTTCAAGAATTTCACAATTCTTCTTTTTGTTTTTTCTTAAGAAACTGCTCCATGAATTCTGCTCTTTTTTTTTTTTTTTTCTGTTTGTTTGTGCAGGAAGAAAAGAATATGGCTAGGGACATTTGAGACAGCAGAGGCAGCAGCGAGAGCCTATGATGAAGCAGCCATATTGATGAATGGCCAAAATGCCAAAACCAATTTCCCGGTGGTGAAGGAGAATCCAAACGAGCCATCCCCAAAAACCAGTACTGATCATCAAGATTCCCCTCCCTTAAGCGTAACAGCTCCACCTGCGGAGTCCCTCTCCGAAATCCTGAGTGCAAAACTGAAGAAATGCTGCAAGGATCCAGCACCTTCGCTCACTTGTCTGAGGCTTGACAATTCCCAGATTGGGGTGTGGCAGAAGAGGACAGGCCGTCATTCCGGCTCCAATTGGGTACTGAAAGTTGAGCTTGGGAAAAACAAAGATCACCAAAATTCAACTCAACAAGCCTCATTATGCTCCTCTTCTTCCACCACAACCGCCACCACCACTTCTTCATCATCAGGATCATCCACGACTTCTTCTGGTACTACTGCTATTGATCAACATGAAACTGGAGTTGGGATGGATGAAGAGAATAGAGTGGCGATGCAGATGGTGGAAGAACTGCTCAACTGGAATTGTCCACCACCGTATCTCACCAATCCTTAAAAGACCGTTATTAGCAGATGATAATATTATATAAGCTAATATTAGCAATAATTAATACAAGTAGTTTTCATTGTATTTTGCTGCTTTTGAATTGACTACAAAACTTCAGGGATGCTGCCTAAATTTGTTTCTAAATCCTTTTCTTAAGGTAGCATCTTCTTGAATAGGACATTACCATAACAAAAGTAGTGATTAAAATCTTCCTGTAATGTCGTAAGTATTTGCTGATGTAAATATTATATATATATATATATATATATATATATATATATATATTTGCAAATACAATTAATCAGAATATATATGCATCGATCTTTAGCTGATGATGATGTCGACTTCTTGTTAATTAATACTGGTAATAATACTATGCATGTTCTGCTACAAATGTGGTACGTACGTTTAGACTAAACTTCCTTTACAACTGTCAATTGCCTTCCCAAGTCCATATCGCATTCAATGCCAATTACTACTGCTTAAGCTCAGCCTTCATCACTGTTAAGAGAAGAATCATCAGAAGCTTTTCATTTCTTTATCATAACAGGATTGTTCTTTTCTTTTCTTTTCTTTTCTTTTTACTCGGTCCAATGAAATTGAATTTTCAAGTCATAGATTGCTTTCTTCAGATTGCAGCTACTTGTATCTCCTTTTACCTGCCTTTATCAACCTCGGCCTGAACCCTGTTTTATTTGTGGTTCTTTTCTTCCTCTGGGGACACTTGGGAACCAGAATAGCATTTTGGCAAGAGATACTATACTGATTTTCCTTTGGAAATTGACCACCTCTTATATCTTCTTTACTTTTCTTCTTCTTAATTATATTGGCTTCACATCTCTTTTGTAATAATGTCATTAATCATAAGTTTTCAACAATATTAAACAAAAACTTTCCAAGATTTAAGACTAATAATGACTCATGATGCACTGTCTATAGTACTTCCCTTGCAATTAATACAGCCCGGAGGGTCAAGAGGGCTAATATTATTCATGATCTTTCCTCACACACTAGGATTGATGCACTTAATAACGTAGTAAAAAAAAAAAAAAAAAAGAGAGACCCCAATGCTTTTTTCGAGGAGATAATTTGCTATTTGACCCAATAACAAGAACTGGTGAAAATGGCATATATCATATATAGTAGTAATCTTTAAAAGGTGCCTGTGATCATGATTCATGACCACCTGAAAAACTTCAAAAAAGGTAGAAGAATATAAGAAGATAAGGGCTTTGGGCGGTTGATGGTCCAGGCTCTAACAAGATTGAACTCTTCCAACGAAATTAGGTGGCTGTTTCCTTTAAACTTTAAAGCATGATGATGAATTATGGCCACCAAGCTGATAACCCAAATTAAATGACTGCATATCAATTTCCGTACGTACAAAACAACCCCCCCCCCTCCCCCAACACAACAAAATAAAGTTGAGTTTTCATTTTTTTTTAACGCCATTTTTTGCCTACCACAATCCAGTGGTTGCGGTAACGAGGCACGTGTACGTGGGATTTAGTAAAAAGTGACATGTTCCCAAATTATTGGACGGTTTTTTTATTATTTCATTATTTGTAGGAAAACTTCAAATTTAATGTTAGGTGAGGCATTTCATAGACAGGAATTAGAAAATATGTTATGTTAAGGAGATGAATTGTAGCATAAGCATATGTCAAGTTTCTGTGGTAGTAAATCTAAACTTATAAAGAATATTTTTTTTTAAAAAAATATTCCTCAATTGTTTAAATTTTGGGACTGTGGCAACTCCCCACCTCACTCTAGGACGGCCCATGATGCATGCATCCGGCGGATGCGAACGGAATCTCATAAGTTCTATTTCATACAAATTTCTTCCTCTCTATTGTTGGAAAGAAACAAGAGTCATGGAGAGTGGTAATAGCTAGCGTCAGTTTGAGTGTTCCCCTCTCCCCTTCTCCCACGTCGGAGAGTTGAGTGACGAGAGTTTAAATCTCTTGGTCGAACTTGAAAGTCAGCAATTGCCTTTTGAGTTGGACTGAGAATTAGGTTTAAAATTTCTTCCTCTCTCTCTATTGTTGGAAAAAAAAAATGAAACCGCACTCTCAAGTTGTGTACATCATCCTCCAGTTTAGACATTCTGACACCCTGAAACCTAACCTATGTATTTTTCAGGAGTTACAAGAAGGTTTTGTCAGATAAACCAGGTCGCAAATTGTTTTATCAACAGGTGTGCTAAAGATGACCATGCATGCATGGGCACGGTCATCATTCAATTCGTAGTCCAACAAATATTATTACAGGCTTAGAGCCAAAAAAAAAAAACATGCAATGCTGCTCCCAAAAATACTAACAACTTAAACGTCAAGAGATGGGAAGATGTGGTCTTTACTTTTGTAAGAGTTACATCTAGCTGTGCCGTCAACGAGCTTAAAGACACAAAAGACGCATTAATCAAATCTTGAACTCCATAATTAGAAGTCACAAAAAATTGTTTTTCCTTTGTTTAAATACTTGGAGAATATTCGGTGGGTATACATGTGGCGTAAGTGTATGTAGAAACATGCATGTCGCTGTTTATCTACATCAAATTAAGATGTTTTTGTAGGTCTCCTCCCAGAAGAGAAGAAGAAGAGGAGAGGACGTTGAGGGTTCCCTCAGCAACAGTTCTTGCATTCAAGTCAACTTCTGCCTCTGGATTACAATACTCCATGTGGCTAACAACCATTGGGGGTTTTCTTAAAACTTCCACGAACGTCTTTAAGGACTGAAGCTGACATGAAATGGGTAGATTTATTGGTGGTTGGTTTGGTTATTCATTAATGTCAAGAGTTAGCCATTTTCAAAGCAGTCAATTTTGCGTTGCATAAAAGTACACTTTCCTCCTCGATCTATTATTTTGGCGCCTGTAATTTCAAATTTGCGCTCAAGACTTGCAAAATATGTCCATTTGATCCTATTTTGTGTGGAAAAGTTAAGTATGTTGTAATCAGTTGTAAGACAGCTGTTGAAATACGCCAACTTTTCTTACAGATTTCACTAGATTATATTTCGTAACAAAATAATTTAGTTAGTAGCAGAATAATCATATTTATTAACCAAGATCATGTTGATTTGTTAACAAATATTTTACCTAAGATTTGCTAGTAGAAAATTATGTTTTGTTGAGATTTTTTTTAGATAATTGTTAGGTGGATATTTTGTTAGTTTGTTTTATGTAATCACTATAAATGATGAGTTGGTGAATGAATAATATAAGTTTATTTTCAGTTTCAATACAAGTCTTTTATAAGATTTTTTTTTTTTTTTTGCAACACTAATATGTTGTTTCTTAGTTTATGCCCAAAAAAATCAACAACACCAGGTCGGTTAATTCACCATGATCTGAAATATTTAAATCAGATCCACATCTTCTAATATGAAAAAAAAAACAAGTTGTAAAGTGATGCAATATTATAACTATAATGCAATCAGCTGAGAAGAACTTTGAAATTCCACCATTTGTGGGCTTCTTTCTCTAGCTTACATGTTTAGGATCCAGACTTATTTTCTAAGAAATTTTGTTATTCATAGAATCAATATATACCTGTATAATCAATTTAAAGCACATGCCTCACCAAACATACTTTGACTTTAAAAAGTTGATTCACATTTTCTGATTGAAACAGAAAAGATAAACAAAATCAAAATGGACAGATTTACAGCATTATGAACCATTAGGTTTTCCTTTTCTTCCTTTTTCCACCCCCCCTTCCTTCTGTTTTTGGGTTTGGGCTGAAATTGAATACATTGAGGACCAATCAAGGTGCTCAGGAGGCAAAACGCAAGGATAATTGTGCTATGGATTTGTGAAAGCAGTTCCAACTCACGCATACAAGTCTTGCTATTCAATGAACATGGACTTTGGGACAAGGAATTTGATTAAAACTGCATCAGGGAAAAGCAGGAAAGAAAAGAAAAGACGAAGACTTGTGCTATCTAGCTGGCACAAGAGTCAAGAGGCTGCATTTGTGTTCTTGATGCTGTTCAATCATTTTCCAATCAAACTCTGTCAGAAGTCATGCTTAGTAATCCCATCTTCTCAATTTTAAGAACATCAATTGGCCCAGTGACACTGCAGCAAGAGGAAAATTAATATTAGCAGGCCACATCAAAGCAACATCATAATCTTGATGTTGAATTGCTGCAAATGCTGTTTTTACATGTGTTGTAATGGTTTGGATCAATTCGATTAAATATGCAGCGTGATTCTGTAGATACAATCATCATTACTTTGTTAATCATTTCCTCCTTTGGTTCCTGAACGTGGTAGCCACGCCAAGAATGCTATCCCTGTGCAAATAATGAACCCATGTCAAAATATCATGTTGCAGAAACTGATTGTGCAATAGTTGGTTAAGAAAATTTTTAAAACAAGAACATTTATTTCATGTGGGATTTCCATGTAACTCAAGACCAAGCAACGAGGACTTCATTTGAGGGTTTGCCATTTGAAGACGGTATATTTCCTCTGGTCACTTAGCAGTTATAGGCTATAGTAATATGCAATCATGAGTTCTAGCTTGTGTTACTTAACCTATCATAACAGTTGCTATTGCTCAGCTTGAACTTGACATGATATGCTGAGCTGACAAGAGGATGTACCCGCTCAGTTGTTAAAGACAGCCACAGAATGGTAATTTTGTCCACCAGGCTTCCCAGGAATGTGACCTGATGATCATTAGCAACCAGCAAATGCTCATGGATTCAGAATCAAAATTAAGCAATGTTCTTAAAGATAGGTACAATTCATGGATGCTTTCCCTGGTCCTCAATGTTGATGTAAAATCTGCAACTAAACGCCACATCTGAGAAGGAAATGATTGTGAAAGTACTTCCCTGCTGACAAAGAATCGAAGTGGCATCCCCGTTTCAACATTTTGAGCAATTTCCTTCATGATAATTTTGCCATCTTAATCTGCAATGTGCAAGAAATAAGCATGCTAAACTTGCCAGTATCAGATGATGGGGAAGGTATTAAAAATAGAACAAGTGCAGTTCTTATTCTTTTTGCTAATTATTAGGCAAAAAGGTTCATAACCTCAATTAATCAGTCAATTAAACCATGTGCTGAAGAGTGGTGAGATACATACAATCACCAGACTTGAACAAAAAATCTGTGTAGTTACTCTTTTGCAACCTCTCAGTTTTTTATAACCAGTTTTTGTTAGCACTTTCATTCATAATTATTAGTCAAGAAAACTCCACGCCAAAGCAGGGGACAGAAAAGAGCAGAAGTGGAGTACAGAGAAAGGTAATTATGATTATTTGGATAATCTATCAAGAAGTTTTATTTGCATATATAAGATACAATTTCTCAAAAAATGTTAAGACTGCAAAGAAAAAATCACTTGTGTATCAGAAGATTGCTGTGACATCTTAGCTTCCTCCAAGATCAGAGTTTGTCAGATTACCATAATCACAAAGCTGGATACTATATCCTGGAATATGCTTGTACATATTGGAGGATTGAGGCCTGTAAAACTACATGTGAATATAATAAGAGCTGTCAATTTCTATCTTTATATACAGGATGTTTAACAGTCTCCGCTACCAAAATGTTCTTGCACCTGCCAGTTCAATTTTGGAAAGTAAACGCAAAATTTGGAAAGCAAACACAAAATAAATAACAGAAGCCTGGTAGCTAACTCCGGCAAAAGGGCTCAGCAACCTATCTCTATTATCAATCTATTTATTGCGCTTCAGTATATTGGTTATTTTTACATTCCAAACAAGTTGAATTTGAATGTTACTTGGCAGACAATTGCCTAGCATTCGTGTCATTTGAAGGAAAAAGGGTAAAACGAGGCAGACATGCAAACAACCATGCTCCTGTCTACGATGTTGTCTCTAGCAAGCCAAAAGTGAAGGTTAACCACATTGCATAAGTGACTAGCAGGTACTAATCCTGCTGCAATGGGGAATAATTTTGAGAGAAAACTGAAATAACAGCTTGGGAATAGCCATCTCCAAACATCATTCTTATCTAATCTTTCTGAAGCCATGGTCTGCCTGTGCCTTGTTCCAGTGAGAAATCCTGTAGCTACTTGACAGCTGCTTTTTGAAAGTTTAGAACTATAGATATGAGAGTCTTCACTAAAATCTGGATAAGCATATTATAATCCATGTAGGGATATAAATCAAGCAAAGGGGCAAGCAAGCAATATATGAATTGTTGTACCATTACCTGTCCCTGTTTTAACATAGCATACTAGGATACTTCTATAACAAACATCAGAAAGTGAGAACAGTGGAAACAAGATGTCAAAGCAGCTATGGAAGTCCTCCATACATCCAAAAGGTCAGCTAAGGGCAATAACAATTCAACCAAATTTTATACGAGTTTCAGCGACTCTTATCCTGGCAGCATGTTGATGTCTTGACGCACCATGGCACATAACTTCAATTCCAGAACCTCCAATTCTCACCATATGTAATATGGAAACACAGGTTCAGGTGATTACTTGTTAAGGACATAAGACAGCAATTCTTATCCTAAAATAAAACACAGTGTAGTGTTAGCAGTAAAGAGCCAAAGAAAAATGTCAGATGATTCGATGAGATTGGATCATTCTGCCTTATAAATGGAAAAAAAAAATTGTAAACAGATGGTAAATAGATGCCATTCACAACGTTTCATTCCAAGAAAGAATTTGTCGATGCACACACTTGTGATAAGATAATTTGGCTTCGAAAGCGAACTGTTAAAACAAGATTCTCTAGCAATATGACACGGCAAGTATCTTCTAAAAATCTCTTAAAAACCAGTCCCTGATAAAGGGTTGTGAATCTCTATTAAGCAAGACGCTGCCTATTATGAGATTTTTGCTTCCATCTTGCAGTCCAATTAGGCATATTAAGGATGCTTTGCCATGGTTTAACTTCTTGAAAGTTGGGATGCATCTTAGCAGCTACTTAAAAAAGATGAACTTGGATTTAGTTTTGTTTTATAATCCCTGTTTTGAAAATTGTTGGGGGAAGGAGCATCTTCAGTAAATTTATTTTCGAATTTTGAAATCTAATAGGCTGTTTTACCCAAGCCATGTATTAGTTCAAGGAACCATTTAAATACAATGGTGGCTCACGATTTCTAACCGACAAACCAAGAAGGCATTACTTCTGACTTCTCATGTACTGACAGGGCATAAACAGCTTAACACATACATTTCTTATGAGTTATCTTCTTGAAAATTCAAACTTCAGAAAGTTTTTGAAAATCCAGAAATTAAACTTCAGTTTGAAAGGCCTTAAGATGTCTAAGAAAGTTCACTTATACAGCCAGCCCAAGTTATGAACTTTTCTTTCTACGATTGAAGTACATATTGCGGCAGAAGCTTCGAACATTCTGAGATGTAAAAGTACTAACGTTAAAGAAACACAGACATAGAAACTACTGGAGTAAAGGATATGCAGGAACCTTGAAAAATTTAATACCTAAGGATGATTGTACCAGGTGTATCTTCTTAATTACTAAGAATTTTTGGAGGCAGGCCAAGGCCATAGTAACATCACAAGACATATTTGCATACAATAAAATCACATCAATTTCCTCTAATTCCAACTTATTCTAACTGGGGACTTATAAAATTAGCTTTCTTTCATTCACTTTTCAAGAGATTCCCAACTACAGGTACCTGCACAGAGCATGAGGTGACTACTGACTATAAGTTACATCATGAAGGAAGGGGTTCATGATACTCCCCAAAATCTTCAGATATCTGCGAATTCTGCAAATAGCCGTGCAATGATTGTGCAGCAAATGATTTGAGTTTCTTATTGATTGTATAAGACATGATGTACAACTTCAAGAAGTGGGATTCATAATTTAGCATACTTCTTCAGAGTATAGCATTTTCTGGGACAGGCAAATTACACAAAAGAGTAACCCTTGATGAAGCAGTCAAAGATCTTTCTTCTGATGAATTAGAGAAGGTATTTCTACTAGTACCAATCTTCCAGAGCTTCACTTCCCAGACTTGAACGGTTTTGCCAAGACTAACAGGAGTAGCCTCAGCAAAGACAAGGTCTCCCAAATGAGCACTCTTGACATGATTGATACTAAGGTGAATCCCAGCAACCCTTTTGAACCCGGATGCCATGTGGGCTGCTATACTTGCCAACGACTCTGCAATCAGAGCTGAGACTCCTCCATGCAGGACCTTGAATGGCTGACAGCATTTGAGGGACACTTGAATGTGGCCTGAGACTTTGTCAGCTGAAAGCTCTTCAAACACAAATCCAAGTGCAGCTAGTGTAGCATCAACTGCCTCTGTCTTTACTGCAGATGATGATGATGAAGCCATGGATGATGATTTTCTTCCTTTCGGTCTACTCTGTTTTCTCTTTTTGTTTATGGTGATGATATTGATGATGATGCTCTTGTCTCCTCTTTTGGGATGATGAGCAAAGTCGATCAGTTGGTTAGGGAATTTTTTTATTTTAATTTTTTTTCTCGTGGGAGTTAGGTAGCATAATGGTAAGCATCTACTACTAAGTACTAACAATGGTTGGCTTTCGGCCTGCTGGGATTAGAATTTGGTGTAAGGGTCTGTTTGGTTCGATATACGATGTTTTCCCCGAGGAAACATTTTCAGTGAAAATCTTTTTCCAAAGTGTGTCTAGTGTTCCCTTCATTTTCCGGTGTCTGGTGTAATTTTGAGAAAAAGTTTCAAAAAACTTAAATGGCGACAGCAATAATTTCATCTCCGGATTTCTCTTTCATTAATTGCTACTAACAATTACAAGTAACAAGTACTCTCCCTATTTCGTCAATCACCAGAGGCAATCTTTAATCCAAATTTTTTTAAGTCCCAAAAAGTCAAATTAAACATCAGAACTAGGGACTCATAATTTTTCAAACCAATTGTATATCGTATTAATAAAGGGTGGATAACTTACATTATGTGGTTACCATGGATTTAACCATTATTAGAAATTAGCAATTGAAGAATGATATGCTCATTAACTCTTCCTCTAGAAGTATTCCTCCAGTCTCATTACTTTTTTCCAAGTTTTCTTTCTCCAAAACTTCTCAATGCAAGCTCAATCTAGAATTGCAATTTTTTATAATCCATTAACGTATCTGCATGCGGTGCAAAAAAAAAAAATACTATAGAGAAAAAACATAAGAAAAAGGGAAAAGTGAACGGTCATACTTTATAGTAACAAGATATTACTTCTGATTTGATTTCTATGAATTACTTAATGGTTCGATACAATAACCAAGTGGTGAAAAGACCGATAAGTCGTCGTAGTTATGGGAAATCAACTTCCATACTCTAATTTAGGAGTTCATTTAAAACTAGGCTGTGTAAAACACTTCATAATAACTGAGTCCCTCTGCAGCCAGAAAAATGGAAATTCAAGAAAATACTTTTTGGAAAAAGATTTTTAATCCAGACAAACAGACCCTAAGACCGATGAGTTTTCACGGTCAGAGTTTGACATTTCACGTGTGTGGTATACCTGCCATTATTGGTTCCCACTTTCCAACGTTGCCAGTTCTTGTCGATTCCTTCATCAAACTGATTTATTTTTCAAATAATCTTTATCCTTCAAATTTTATTCGAGGAATATATATAGCCAGAAAATTTAGGAGTTTTCATCAGTAACCGAAATATAAAAGAACAATTTCAACGTTGCCAGTTCTTTTTTCTTTCTTTTTTTTTTTTTTTGGCGTAACGGTCTCCTACTCCTAAGGGAGGGGGACCTACTCCATGCAACAGTTTAACTGGGCTAAGAGAATATAACGGGGACTGAACTACAATCAAATCAAATGAATGTACCACACATTCGTATGAATTTAGAATAAATATCATATAAAATCAGATTAAGAAAAGGCAAAGTTTGAATCTTGACCTTCCGCCCTATAATTAATACTCCCTCCGTCCCACTTTAATAGTTTTGTTTTTCTTTTTTCGTCTGTCCCAAATTATAGTCCACTTTTCCATTAAGAAATGTAGCAATCTTTCAAATTGTCTAAAATACCCTTAATAAATATCTTGTTATTAATACATTGTTATTAAATACTAACCCACTACATTGAATACATTGAACTTTTCCAATACTAACCCATTAGCCGTAACTGATATTAATTGGCACTCTTCGTGATTAGCATAAGGGTATTTTAGGAAATTATTAATCTAAATTTATGTTTCTAACCAAATTAATTACACTTTGTTAATCTGTGTGAAAAAAAAAACCAAAACTAATAAAACGGGACGGAGGAAGTATGATAATCATCTCTCCTCGAGGGAGTTGGTTATTTCAAACGTGTTCAACAAGGTGAAAAATTCATATGAACAATAAATTGCAAGGTTTGACAAACACATTAGTCGGCCAAATGGGAAAAGGTGACGTGTCATAATAGTCTATCAATAGCATGGAGGGCGGCTGGAGGGGTTCACTAAAAGAATAGAGTAGCAAGTCATTTAAAATCATTACCGTCCAACAATTTCGGGATTTATATACGTGTGAGAGCGTGCGTATTTGACAAAATTAAAATTTGAATATTGAAATCTAAAATTTAAATTTATTAAATTATGTTACTGAATTGTTAAGTATTAAATTGATGAATTTGAGTATATATTACATTAAGTGATAAGTAAATAGTTTATCACTTATTTTTCGGAGCAAATTTTATTTAAAAAATTAAGTGTCACTTAATTAGTTTAGATGTTTTATTTTTTTTATTATCAAACGTGTCTGAACATTTTAAAATCTGAACCCATTTTAAGCATAAAGGTTGTTAAGCGTTGAATACATCCAATCATTTTCGCATTTATTCTAAGGGGAAAAAAAATCGTCTACCATGCCTTCTCATGAAGTTATCAACAGTAATTATTCAATAAAAGATGCTATTTCCGAAAAAAAAAAAAAAGTTTCACACACTTCACTCATCATTTTATTAGCTTTTGGGACAAAATTAGCATTCGCTTATTCTTCTCAACTGCCGACTATTTAATTTGCAATTGAAAAGATAGAAGGCAGATTAAAAGTTGTGTACACCTTTAGCAGCAAAGGCACTCTGGCCTTTCCACACCAAATTCCACATCGATCCTCGGGAGGTTAAGGGTTAGGTTATTAATTTTCTGGGTGGCCTCGAGAATTACAATTTTTGAGATAAACACCTGCGATTTCGGGTTAGTAATTTAATTCTGATTTCTTCTTGAAAGATTAAAAGTTGTAAAAACAAGAGTCAGCCCACCTACAGGCTGCATCATCATTATCTTGCAGAGCGCAAGAGCTATCTATGGCTTTGAATTCACAGCCATTGCAATTTGCAAATGGCTCAGAAAGAAACTGTACCCTTTTATCTGTGTTACCTAAATGACCCACTCAAAAGAACATGGACCACTAGTGAGCAGTGGCCTGAGTGCCCTCCCCTGACTAAAATAATCTTTTGTTTTTCTTCATTTTTTTTTTCTTTTAATAAAGGAGATAGTACATATAGCATACTTCAAAACTGCAATTGTCCATTGTTTGTTGGTCTTCTAAGTAGAGCTGTAGAATTTGTTACTTTGCCTGAATAAATAAAAAAGAGTGAGCAACGTTTGATGCAGCCTTGGAGGAGATGGTGATCAGATAGCAGATTACCAACCCTTCTTGACCCTGAATTTTTTGGTCCTTTTTTAGAAGCAAATGCCCAGGTAATAGAGCTGCAACAGCCAAGAAGGACGGAGGGCTCTGATGAATCAATTTTCTAGATGATCAATGATACATATTTTTCATTAAACTTCCATTCATTCCAGCGACTCTTCAACTTCACTTCCATTTTGAGAAGATCAATCCAAGATTTAACAGAATCTACTGACAGATTAGAATGAAATACTTGTCTGCGCAACCCCATTTGTAAAAGTGTAAACGTGTTAACACCAGATTACATACATGTTTAGCAAGATTAAAAATCAATTTATGATAACTTACACGGTTTATTTCTGCAAATACTCTAGTTTAAGACTACGACCTTGCACCTTTGCCCTTGCATCTCCACTTGATATTCGGCAATACAAAGTACGAAAGAAGTTGAAAGAATAAATGAAGGCAAAATCATCATCCAATAACATCCAGTTCATATTTTTGGGTTGGGAAGGGGGCGGGGGGTGATTGGGGGGAAGGGAACATGTTGAAAAACTACCAGACTTGGAAAATGAGATGGATTTTTCAATCTCAATTTAGAAATAATAGTACAATACGAGGAACAGGCTATAAGTTACATAATAAGACTTCATCACTTGTACTGCACCAAAGTTTCAAACTTCACTAATTTGAGCATACAAAGCCACCTAGCTTTAACAGCAAAATGAAACAACACAATCTTTTATGTTGAGCTGGAAAGACCATACTGTCTCAGTATTGGGTAATGCAGATATGAGTTTATTTAGAGTACTGAGAGTAAGAGCAGATTGACCTCCTCCACCACTTGCAGTAAACTGCAACGAAAGTCACGAGAACAAAGCAGGAATGGAGAAGTTGCAAATTCTTCCAAGTTAAGAAGAAACAATGCCTATTGAGATTTTGATGCCATCAGGTACTGTAAAGAGGAAGGACCATCAGCAAATAAGATATCCCTGACATAGGAAGCCTGTTGTAGAACCAGCAGTCAAAGTAAACCAGTAAACCTCATTGTGATGCACAGATGCAAGTGTGTCAAGCTCACCGATTTTCTGTATTAGGTCAACCGACCTGTTCATTTATTTTTTCATAATTGTATCACTCTGTTAAAGCCCAATTATTTAAAGAAATTACAAATTTCAACGTCTTTATGTTGAAATAAAGAATTTCCAGCAACAAAAACTATGAGCTCTGCTATTATTTGAAAAAAAAAAAAATTTAATTCCAGTTACATCACAAAATAAGCTATCAGCAATAATTCCAGAGAAAGGGAAATTTGATGCATAATGTGGGGTACTAAAAGGGTGGAACATGGTCCCATATGTCGAAGGATTTTGTGGGATCAAGCAGCAACTTGATTCTAGAAGTGATATTATGACATCAAAAGCAACAACTTTGACTAGTGCAAAACATAATGCACACAAGCACAATGAAAGATTCTGATCTGCTGTTGGAATCCAGTGAATTCTATTCTGTTACTATGGTAAGAAGATGCTAGTTCATGATGGAAACCTTATTACCAGCTTGGTAAGGTAAGGAATCTACATAAAGCTGGCATGTTCGCATGGCTGTATCAAAAAATAACTAGCTCATCGGGACATAAACAAACTAAAGAAGTAAACACTAGTTAATCGAAGTGCATCTAACTAGAGATTACTAAAAAATGACTTAGTTCATCAAACAATTTAGCATTTTCTAGAAGATAAGTCAACATCAGAGTTTTTACTTCTTTTAACTGTTCAAGTAGAGGTAACATATCAATTCAGTCATTTATCGTGGAAAGATATTGTGTTAATTGAATGGTGCTTCAGTATTTTTTCTTGAGTAAATATTTCTCACCATGTGGCCCCACT